AAAACAGGGTGACTCCAGGACGAGCCATCTTGATGCCCCTGAGCCTTGGCTGATCCATGTGGCTGCTGGGCAGGAAGCAAGTGAGTTTACAGGGATTGGTTCCCATGGAGATGTACTCAGCAAATGGAATTGGTTGGGGTAGTCGGGATGTTGGTGGGGAATGCTAACACTACAATAGGTCAACATAATTTCGTTATACAGTTCAAGACACAGGGCAGAGAAGATAGGAGCTCATTCAGGGAGCAAAAGACTGTCACCAGACCTCTTCCTGCAACCTGAGATTACCACAAGGCTTCCTCCCTTCCACATCTTATCCCAGTCTTTGCTCAAATGTTATCTTAGGACACCCTGAAGATGAAGGACAGAGAGGATTCTACCCTGAGCTCTGAGCTCTCTGGCCCTTCTCTGGCCACCCCTTTTGCTATGGAGCAAGGATTCTGTGGCCCAAGAGGACATGGCCAACCAAAATACCTGCCCTTCCCTATTCTTATACTATGGTACACTGTGGGTACCTGGCACCCTAGAACTCAATGCCCCAATGGCATCAATTCAGCTCTCGGACATTGTACAGGCCTCTTCTCGGGATCTATCCTCTTTAGTGGGCAAGGGGTGGCTGAGGGAGGCTATTTGCAGGAAGTGTGGACAGAGCTTGCATGTGCAGACAGGGACGTTAGAGGTGTGGATCCAAGGTCCCTTGATATGTGGGGCAGAAGTGGGACAGAAAGGAGGAAGGCTGAGGCCTAGGACCGACTTCCTAGAGCCAAAGCCATGGGCATCCTGTACTCACTTTGGATGACTTCAAGAATCTACATTGGCCTTCCAGATTATTATGGGGTTGCCATGAACTGGACGCACCTTGACAGCAATGGGTCAGGTCTTTTGGTTTTGAATATAATGACCCTATAAGACAGAGGAGACCTGCCCCCTGTCGACTTTCCCAGGCGGTCCATCTTTACAGAGGAGGAATGTCCTGTCTTTCATCTGTGGGGCACCTGGTGGGAGCCAGCCACCAACTTTCAGTTAGCAGCCGGGGCTCCGCATTAACGGAAAAAGATAGGAATTTTACCTAACAGCTTATCAACTTGATTTACCATTTTACAATATGTGAACCTATGGCATGTGGCCCTCTCCCTGGACTGCTATGCTGGGCCCTGCAAATACTAGGTGTGGGTCAAGGCGAACCTCTTGTCACTTTATTTCATCTTAACACTGGTCACCACCTCTTTACTACTTGTTTACCATCTCTCTAGCTCCCCTAAAACATACGATGCATAGCTGTAGATAGTTTGTTTAGTTTGCTGCCTATTTTTAGTTTGTACCTAGAATACTGGCTGGCACAAAGGACACACCCAGTAAACGTTTGTTTGGTGCAAATGAATGAATGAATGAATGGGTAACAAATCTGGCCCCAGAGTGCCCACAGATGCAGTAGGCTAACCTAACAGACACAGCAAGAAAAGATCACCCACTGCGAAGCACCTTCTACTCTTAAAATAACACAGCATTGGGGGGATCCGTGAACATCTCAGCCCACATGAACACACAACCCGTTCATCTGGTTACCTGTGACGGAAAACATTTTAGTGCCCGTATAGAGATGTGGGTAGGATGGAGGGCTAGATGTGGAAGGTGGTGGGAGGGAGAAGTGGGGTGGGAGAAGGTAGTTAGTACGGGCTACTGAGAACCCCGATTGAAGGTACAGGGCATGCCAAACGAATGGTCGGGATATGAAGACCTCATTTCTCCCAGGGCAGGGCCAGGGTTGGAACATCTGCCGCCCTCGCCGTTTTCTTAGGATGGCCACACTTGGGTGCTGAAGGAGACTGGCTCCACGACAGAGGCTCAGGGAGCCAGCCGGCCCAGGTTAAAGTGGGTAGGGGCCTGCTGACTGGGGTCTGGAAACCTGGGGATGTTAATTCCCCAGGAGGTGATGGCGCATCGGATCCCTGTGAGGTCGCGCAGTGCGCAGGTGGTGGGACTGGAGGGTCGTTATCATTACCACTAGTCCCTCTACTTTCTCTGCTTTTAGTTCACAAAGCTTTGCTCTTTGCCGGGAACAGCATGCATCGGGATGATATTATTCCTGCCCGCCTAGATACGGGGGCTGCGAGAGGACAAATAACCTCCGAGGGCCAAAGCCAGGATCGCACCAGGGGGCAGGCCTCGGGTCGGCGGCCGCCCTGGGTTTCACGAGGCTGGGGGTTGCTCCAAGCCTTGCGCCGAGCTCAGCCTCCGTGGGCCCCGGGCGGGGGCGGGGGCCGGGGGCCCGGCCGCGCGGCCCTAAGGCCTGGACGAGGGCTCGGGCGGGCGGATCGCCACGCGGGCCCAGACTTCGACGCTCCGCTCCAGCTCCAGCCCCCGCACTGCGCCGACCTGCGGAGCCGGGAAGGGGCGGGGCCTGCTGGGGGCGGGGCCGGGGCGGGACCACCCATTTGCGGCCGGCCGGGTGGGCGAGATTTGTTTGTTTGCTCGTTCGTTCGTAATCTCCTCCTCCCGCGTCCCCAAATAGAAATACAGGGTGAAGGCCAAGCCTCGCAAAACGCCCCCTTTTTTCATTCCGTGAAAACAAGTGTGTGTCTGCCTGGACACCCAACAACTGGCTTCTCTAGGGGTGCCCCCGCCCCCAGCATGCGGAGTATTTGGGGTCCGAGGAATCGCGGATGAGGATAAGAGGCGCGTGACTGGTATTTCTAAACCTTGTCAAAGTGTCAGAATGAGACAAGACCGAGCTTCGTGGCGTGCTAATTGCACACTCAGGAAAGCTCCAAGCCTGGTCCTGTGTGAGAAAGAACACTTCATCGGCAAGTGTCACCCTGACGCTGGACAAGGGACATAGAACAAGCAGTGATTTGGAAAGTACGAGAAACAAGTGATGCCAAGGTTCAGAACGGCTTTAAAAACGACCTTGAGCCTTCCCTTGTGTCGTTTTCTTCAATCTCAGTAGCAGAAAGGCTCCATTCGAAAAGCAGACATAAAGTGACATACCAGTAATATTGTTCCCCCAAATGGTCCATCTAATTTATTTGTACATATAAACAAGGTTTCCAATGGACTACGAAGGACAAGCTGGACCCCTTTTAAATCTTGACTTAAAAGAATACTTTGCTCAGTTATCGCAGGACGAAATTTTTTCCCCATCACGTGAATTATTTCCAATGTTGAAATTTAGATCAAAAGTATGGTGAAGTTCCCAATGGAAATATTGGAGTTGTGTGCTGTGGAGCCAATTCCAACTCATAGTGACCTTACAGGACAGCGAAGAACTCTCCTGGAGGGCTCCTTCAGCAGTCTTGTTTGATGGGCCCAAAGCACTGCTTTCAGGTAGCAGCAACACACCTGAACCGTTAAGCCACCAGGACTCACTCCGAACATTAGAATTTTAAAAAGTGATTAAATATAATGTCCTGAGTAACTTACTAATGGAACCCATAACATTTGGAGAATTGTGAAGTAGAATGCCCCTGAGGTAGACTCGTACCTATTCCTTGAGCAGGCCCTTACATACTAGGGAAACAACCTATTCCCCTTGTCGTAGCGTGGATTCCAATTCATGGAAACTCCACTTGTTACAGGGTAGAAATGCTCCATCAAGTTTCTCTTGGCTGTTACCTTTCCAGAAGCAGATCACCAGGCCTTGCTTCCACAGGACTGCTGGGTAAGTTCATACCACCAACTTTTAGGGTAGAGCTGAGCACAAACCCTTTGTGCTACCCAGGGACCTCATGACATTCATTTATACCTCCCCTCTAGCACATTCCTTTCAACGTACTTCCCAGAACACGTCTCCTCATTCCTTATTGAAGCCAGCAACTTCTAATGATTTATCAATGAATACAAGACCAAATCACAAATAGAGACTAGCTTTCAAGAGCTATAATATTACCCTGGGCCTGATACATAAACAAATCAAAGGAATTTCAAGAGATGTGATACCAAACATAGCTTCTTGGATTGATGTTTCACTATTAGAGAATCTTTTCTTCCAGATTTCTTTTCTTAAAAGCTTTCTGAACCTTGAAGAGTTTCATAGCAAGTGCAACTAACAGTAGGCCAAAGTCTAACTGCCGGTCAGGAGATGGGAGGTAGCACTAAAAAGAGTGATCTATTTTCAGAAAGAAGAAACTATGCTGCCTTTCCAGCTTCATCCAGAGCCCTGATTGACCCCATTCTATCCATCAGCTGCTGCCAGCTTCGATCCTGTGACCTCCACCTGATGCTGTTGACTGCCCTCACCTCTCATTTCACTCCTGCTCCTTCCGTCCAAAGGCTTCCTGATCCCACTGACACTCCTTGACGGCCATACCTGCTCACATCTCTCCAGTTCCTGATCCATAACATGTCTCTACATTCATTTTGTGACCAAACTAAAAAAACACACACAAATGTACTGGCATCGAGTCAGTCCACATTCATAGCGACCCTATTAGACAGGGTAGAAATGCCCTTGTGACTTTCTGAGACTGTAACTGTTGATGAAAGCACAAAGCTTTATCCTTCTCCTGCAGGGCCGCTGGTGGTTTCAAATTGCTGAACTTGTGTAGTAGCTCCCTGTGCAACCACTATGCCACCAGAGCTCTTTTGATGACTACGTTGTGCCAAAAATAAGATTATTAGTCAATAGGCTCATGAAGGTACGTTTGATTACCCATCCAGATTATGCCTGTGAGAGGGTGTGTAGAAGATTTCTCAGTATGTCCTTGACCCCTATAAATTATTGTCAGTGCTGATTTTATAGGAGACAATGAATCCTTTTTGAAGTTTCCTATTCTTTATGATCTTCAGACTGGACATTAAAATGGATACGATAACATTTGCTTCACGTTGTTCCTATAAGGCTTATTATATTTTTATTTGATGTTGTTGCTTACAGTTTTAGACCACAAATAATTTCTGAGAAAATTCAACAGTGTAACATAATTTATATTTTATAACCAATCACCAGAGTAAAATAATAAAGAAAAAATGCTGTCAGGCAACGTTAGAATGTAGTATAACCACAAATGAATTACCAGAAGCACAATAATGGTGCTTTTCGGTTTGGGGATTCGCTTGGTCTACATGGTAATTTTTAATATAATATGATGAGGGGATAAAAGTAATAGAGAAGAAATCCTTTAAACAACATGCTATAGAGCAAAATATAAACTTGTTGCCATCAAGTAGATTCTGGCTCATGGGTTTTAATGTACTCTCAACTTTTATATATATATATCTGCACAAGGTGTTAAATTTATTCAATAATTAATGATACACACATGGAATGTGGACTTGTTTGTTCCTTCAAGAAGATTTTTTTTGCAAATAACTACTATATTGCTGACAAAATGCAAATCAACATTGCAACACTCTTCATATTCCTGTTCGGGCCACTGATGCTTACAGAATAGGGGAGGAAGCAAATTTATATCTAATGTGGATCATTCCATTCATAATGGAACCAGTAGGGTCTTTGGTGTTGGGTTGAAGTTTGAAATCTTTTTTTCACTTGCTAGCTATCTGGTCTGGACAAGACAGAGAATGGTCCTGCATATCACTGTCCATATCTGTGAAATAGCAATTGTGATAATTACCCTGATACACTGATGTGAGGATTACTTTAAATAAATGCTCAGGATTATGATGTTGCAGAAGATAAAAGGAATCAATGTTATATGGGTGGACGAGGATAATTCTGACCATCTAAATGGCATGGATCTTAAAGTTCATGCAGTTGAATTTTGAACAAGGCTTAAATGTAGGGAAGACAGAAAACACAATCAGCGGTTCTCAACCTGTCATCCGCGACCTCTTTGGGGGTCAAACAACCCTTTCAGAGGGCTTGCCTGATTCATAATATTAGCAAAACTACAGTGATGACATAGCAATGAAAATCATTGTATGGTTGGGGGTCCCCACAACATGAGGAACTGTATTAAAGGGTTGCGGCATTAGGAAGGTTAAGAACCGCTGGGCTCAATGAACTCAAACCAACACTCACTGCCTTGGAGCCAAATCCGAACCCTAGCAACCCCACAGGACAGGGAAGAACTGCCCACGTGGGTCTCAGAGGTGAAATTCTGTGTAAGAGTGCAAAAGCCACATTTTTCTCCAGCAAAAGGGTGGGTGGTTTTGAACGACAGCTTTTAGCAGCCCATCAAGGTAGCTACGCAGTTTTAAAAGGAAAGACTTTTATCATAGTGGAAATCCCATATATACTCGAGTATAAGCCGACCCAAATATCAGCCAAGGCACCTAATTTTACCACAAAAACTGCATTAAAAATGTGCTGCTGAAAAAACTCGGCTTACACTGGAGATCCTCTTGCAGAGGGGTGCGATGTAGCAACCACGAAAAATACAACTTTCCTCTAGTTCCTAAATGCTTCCTCCCCCACCCTGCCCCCCACTACCATGATCCCAATTCTACCTTACAAATCTGGCTAGACCAGAGGATGTACACTGATACAGATAGGAACTGGAAACAGAGGGAATCCAGGGCAGATGATCCCTTCAGGAGAAGTGGTGTGAGTGGCAATACTGGGAGGGTAGAGGGAGGGTCGGTTGGTAAGGGGGAACTGATCACAAGGATCTACATGTGACCTACTCCCTGGAGGACAGACAACAGAAAAGTGGGTGAAGGGAGACATCAGACAGGACAAGATATGACAAAATAATAATTTATAAATTATCAAGGGTTCATGAGGGAGAGGGGAGCGGGGAGGGAGGGGAAAAAAAAGAGGACCTGATGCCAGGGGCTTAAGTGGAGAGCAAATGTTTTGAGAATGATGAGGGCAATGAA